ACAACTTTATAAATTCTGTTCTGAACCAAAATAAGGGAACAAAATCTAAGTGATATCAGCACTGTGGCAATGCATTATGGAAATATCTCCTATATTCTAAAAAAAATTAGAACTTTTGCTGGACTTCACAGACAAAGTTAATAATATACCTCTAGATGACTTACAACTGCTAGCCTACTGTGTACTCAGCCTGTTTAACACATACACACACCTTTAAGAGAACAATGTAACAACCAACTTCAATTGCCTTGGCCCTCTCATGCAATCAACCTTTATAACCTAAGCAAATGTATAGCTGTAATCTTTTTTTTTTCCTTTTTTTAAGACAAGGTCTCTCTACATAGCTCTGTCTCTCCTGGAAGTCTTCTTGTCTCTGGAGTGCTGGGATTAAAGGTGTGTACCATGCCTGGCTCCTAGAGTAATGTCTATGTATTCTAATGATCATTTGCTATATAAAGAAAAAAAACAGAGGTTGAAGGTAACCTTATAAAATGAATATCTACTATAAACGTTGCTCGCAACATGAGGATATTGCCTGGTAAACAATGATGCTTGTAATACTACTTGTTATCTGGATCAGCTGGTCAGTGACATAATCCCATGTAAAAGTCTGTTAAAGATTTCTGTAAAGTATCCCTCATTCCTTCCACATGTGATGCTTCCTGTGCTGTTCAATAAAAGAGCGAAGTCCTTTGTTAAGGAGAGACACAGGGACAAATGCACAAGATCACACTCAGGCGGTTACCGATTCAGTCTCACACAACAGACAGGAACATGGAGAGTCAAAGAGAGAATTCAAGTCTGGGCTCACTCTTGGCTAAATGAGACTAATAGGAAGTGCTGTGAATTCATTCCTTAATATGACACCAACGCATCTGAGGTAACCCTGGGTTTATTATTAATGTGCTCCAATGACTGCACGGTACCACTAAAACTGGAAGAACTCCTCTTTGTTTCAGGCTGAATCAATGAGTCACTTATCAGATTATTATTAAAATAGAATCTACCCAGCCATGTAGTATTACTGCGCTGATCTGAGACTCAGGCTTCCATGGTGTTCAGGTGCCTATTCTAAATCTTGGCTATTTTCCCATAGCTTTTCTCTTTAGTCTTAATCATGCTTTATACAGTAACTGCGTAGGGTCCATTTATACTGTAATCACATACTGGATTATGTGTGTGAGAGAGATCAACTATTAAAAAAACATACAAACACAAGTAAACAAGTTAAACTTTAAAATTTAGAATCTATTATGAACCTCGTTTGGGCTTCAGGAAGTAAATGTGAAGTAAAGTATGTTACATTTATGTAACTCTCACAAAAGGGAAGTGTTGACTGGAGTTTTATTAATCTCCACGCTGTTTCCAGTCCAAACAGAGTTTCTCTGAAGCCAGTAGCACGTTGGAAATTGCCACAATATGAGAAGCACATCTTGCTAAGGAATATTATTTTAAGGTGTGCTACTTTTGTTTATGTTGCATTTGTTTAACTCTGTGAAGCTGTGTTACTGTACCTGCCTAAAATACCTGATGGTCTAGTAATGAGCTGAGCAGCCAATAGCAAGGCAGGAGCAAGGATAGGCGGGGCTGGCAGGCAGAGACTATAAACAGAAGGAGAAATCGAGGAAAAGGAGAAAGCAACAGAGAACAAGGGGAGGAGGACAACAGGGGTCAGCCACCCCGCCAGCCCTGGAGTAAGAGTGAAAGTAAGATATACATGAGTAAAAAAAGGAAAAAAACCAGAGACAAAAGGTAGTTGAGATATTTTAAGTTAAGAAAAGCTGGCAAAAAAAAAAAAAACAAGTCAAGCCAAGGCCAGGCATTCATAACTAAGAATAAGCCTCTATGTGTGATTTACTTGGGAGCTGTGGTGAGACCCCAAAAGAACCAAAAAGCCTAAAGAATAAATAGCAAAAACAAGCATCTCAGAAGTCTGCCATTGTTGGCTCTTCTTGAGCATTCTATACTGGGCCAAGCTAATTCTCCTTGTGAGCATTAAGGTTAGATCAGTTCATGGCTGGATGTAGCACATGCTATCTTGGTCATGCCCGATTATTATAGCTGATATAAGAAGTACAATTTCAATAAAGGAAGAAAAAAAACTTTAATGCAACACATCTAGTCAAAGAATGAATACCACTTCTTTTTCAAAAAGGTTGAATTTCTTTTTCAAACCATTATACTGTAACATGCAAATGTGGTATTCAGTCATGTCCCACAACTTGTTTCACCGGGTTAGTGTGAGTCTTAATAAGTCCAATAAACACATTGGACGGCCATGCAAAATGTATTTCTGAATTGTTGTATTAAATATAAATTGGGAATATAGAAAACTCTGCCTGACGGTCTCTGATTTAAAAAAGGGGGGGGAGGGGATAAACCAACTATTTAAGTGAAAAGTACTGCTTATACCCTCCATGTACTAGAAATTAGATTTCCTAATACAAAGATGTTTTCTGCCTGAGAGACATGTGTCCAGCAATGTGAAGATTAGCTGGAGCCCACAGAGTTACACAATAATCAAAGTATAAAGTATAAGGAAAGAACATAATTGGATATAGTAATATCTGTAATTCTAGTACTTGGGAGGTAGAGGAAAAAAGATCACAAGTTTCAGAGTCTTCCTCTGAGAAGATGTGGGAGAAGAGGGAAAAAGGGAGGTGAGGGAGGGAGAATGAATGAATGAATGAATGAATGAAGACAGTATGAACCTACAGAATAGGAGAAAATACTTGCAAATCATGGAAGGGATTTACATCCAGAATACATAGAACTCTTACAGCTCAAAGTAGACAAGAGAATCTTATTTTTTAAATGAACAAAGAATCTGAAATTTTTCAAAAGAATATACATATATGACCAATAAGAACATGAAAAAAGTCAATACCATTAGTTACTAGAATACTAACGGCTAGATCACAAGACTACTTTATACATGCTATAGCATAGCGATTGTCAGGGTCTCCTTATGTAGCCCCAGGTGACTTAGAACTTGTTATGTAGACCAGGTAGGCTTTGAACTCACAGAGATTTGCCTGCCTCCTGGGTGTTGAGACGTAGGGAGGGATTTTTAAAACATGGGAAATAATGCATTGGTAACATACAGAGAAACAAGGTCCTTTTTCCATTAGTCCTAAGAGTTAAAACCAAGTGGCTTTAGAAAACAGATCTGTGGCTTCTCATCCTGAGGTAGCTGCCCACACAAAAATCAAAGGAAATGCTGACATAATAACTTGTATATAAATGTTCATGGAGCAAACAGCCCAAATGTCTGTCCATCGACTGAAGAAAAATAAAGTATGATATATTTATAGTAAAATGTTATGTGGCAATAAAAGATGATGCTCTAACATGGATTGATCCTGAAAATACCACACTAAATCAAAGCAGTCACAAGAGGGTATAGTAAAATATATAGAATAATTTGTTGCCAAGAACTGGGGGAAGAGAAGAGAAACTGCTTCGAGTAGAGGGCTTCTTCTGGGGCTGGGCAGCACTTCAAGGGGTGCTTTTAGCACATAGCGATGGCTCAACAGTTAGAGAAATTGTTGCTCTTGCAATGGACTTGGGTTCAGTTCCCAGTGCCCACACAAAGATTCACAACCCGATGTCCATTTCTGACCTCCTTGGGTACTAGGCAAGCATGTGATACACATATATACTCAGGCACAAACACTCATCAGATTTTTAAAAATGTCTTTTATGGTATGAATCGTATTTCAATTAAAAAAGTTAAGAAAAATGACCATATAAAATCCTACAAATTTTTAAACTAGCATGATTTTTAAGGCAATTGGATGAATTGACCATTTTCAGCATGATTGTCAGCAGGGCCTTGGAAGAAATGTCTTCAGTGGTGAGTTCCCCTTGGAAACCTTGAGGTTGATACTGTAACTGTAAATGCATATTTGTAAAAGCAACTGAACTCTAGAAAGTTTCAGGCCAAAGACACAGGCAGCTCAGTCTTTTAAGGATATTTCCCTGGGGGCTGGAGAGATAGATGGCTCTGCAGTTAAGAGCACTGGCTGTTCTTCCAAATTTCCTGAGTTCAATTCCTAGCAACCATATGGTGGCTCACAACCATCTACAGCGTGATCTGATGCCCTCTTCTAGCACTGTATGCAGATAGAGCCCTTGTATACGTTAAATAAATATTTTTAAAAAGGATGTTTCCCCAAACGCGTGGCCCTTTTGAGAAGGAGTAAATGTACCACAGTGTGTGTGCAGCTTTCTATATTCTCCGTGTGGCTATTCACCCTCGTCCATATATCTACTTATGTCCTTTTAGATTTGAATTGTAGACTCCCAAAGTATGGGCATCAAACCTCCTTTACATCACAATATCCTTGATCAAATCAACAGATATTTGAATCAAAGAGCATTAGAATGTTAGAATTGTAGAGGTAGCAGCCGTGAATAATTCAAGCCTCTCAATTTGAATGCACTGAGTTAAGCTGGCCTACTCCAGAAATGTATCTGATTATTTTAAGTTTTGAAAGACGGGATCAAATACTTGTTTAAGAAGTTACCTATTGCTTTTTTTAAAAAAAAAATCAGTTTAAATTATCACACTAAAATGAGTAGCAAAAAAAGTTGGTTCAAATAAGTAAGGGGAAAAAATCTGTTATCATATACCTTATCCAACATCAAGTTGGCTTAACTACCTTGATACCAATAGAAGAAAGAAATGTTTTCAAAAATAAATATACTACAAAAAGCTCAGCTAAGGTTTGGTAGGAGCCTTAAATATGGCCATCAGCAGCACAGTCTTCCAGTTGCCATCTCAGCCCACAGGTGCATCTACCGAATGGGTGGCCATCTTCAGATGGAGTTCCTCTACGGTATTCATGACATGTACCGTATCTCATTATTTCTGTCTTCCTGAGAATGAAAAATGACTACACCCTAGCAGACTAAACCAACGGTCTTAGAAGTGCTGACGGCGCAGAATTCTCTAAAGTGTGTGGATGAGGGACTTTCGGTCGCCTCGAGTTCCATACCTGGAATGCACTGTGCAGTGGCTTCAGTGGTTATGGTTGGAGCAACAGGGGGCTGCTGTTGACTGGAGCTCACTTCAGGCTCTGTGTTAACCGAGGGAGAAAGGGCTACCTCACAAGATGAGACTTGGCTAGGCAAATGGGGTAGGAACTCCTCCGAAACAACCTGCTCATCCTGTCCAGGCAGCTGAAGGGCAGACAAAGGGATACTGATCTGTTTGTTAGGATGTGATGTGCTCACGGGCATCTGCATGGTCACCTGGTGGGCGGTGCCGTGAGCACCAGGGGGTCCTCTGTTTGGTGAAGCCAGAGATACCCTAGCAGTCTTTGGGATGATTGGTCTGGAGATCACAGAGGGGGATGCTGACATAATGTGTGGGTCTAGCTCCGCATTGATGGCAGACGTTACATGGGAAATCAGTTTAGCAGACCCTACACAGGAGGGACCAGCATGAGTCTGAAGCTTGGGCTTTGCCATCTGTGTCAATGAAAGGGCTGGTCCATCCACTCCTCCAGTCAGCTCTGCATTTGCCACAATGTAATAATCTTCTGGAATCTCTTGCTTGATTTTCTTGATGATGACATCATTACTGCACTCATCAACCATCTGTCCCTGGGAACCTGAATGGATGGAAGATGGGACTATCCCTGGCCTTTTGCGAGCAATGCTTTGAGGCCTCTGAGTTTGGGGTTCAAAGTCACTGTCCTCATCTGTAACAGAAGACTCGCAAACCATGTCAAACAGTGTGTTTTCATCTTCATACTCCTCGACAGCTTCATCCAGTTCAGAGGGCTCACTGCAGTAAGAGAAGTCACAAGAGTCTCTGGTACGGTTACAGTCCAGCTTTGCTTTCACAGGTCTCCCAGGGTATCTTTCCACGGGGCTAGTCTGTGTCTCAGAAGGCACCCCAATTATACTGGGACTATCAGAATTAAAACTTCGGTTGTCCTGGAAACAAACCCTCTCTTGGGACCCAGCTCTGCAAGTAGCTGTTAGTGGCCAGTGGTAAGCATGGCCAGCGCTACAGCCCCACATTGCAGTCAGGTTCCCATGGGAACCTTCAGAAAGCAAGTGTTTCAGGTTTGGGATGAGGCTGCAAATGGTCCCATGGCTGTGGGCCCAGCTGACCAATTTGGACAGATTCTCAGATGAGGTATGAAGACAATCCTCCATGTTACAGGATCAGCAGTGTCTTTCCTAAAGGGAAATAATCAAAACGAGAAGCTGTTATTACCCAAGACATTCCCACATAGCTAATTTTTTCCCAACCATAATCACTTGGATTAAAAAAAGAATATACTTCTAAGCTGCATGTAGATACCACCACTGCATAGAACAGGAATGGGAAAGGTTTGAAAATGGCTGACTGTCCACACAGAATGGAATTTGAAGAAAAATGTGTTAGTTTCCTTTATTGCTACAACAATTCCTGCAGAGAAGAAAAGAAACAATGAAGAGGGAGAACTGGGTAGCATTGGAGGCATTTCTTCACGGCGCATTTTCCTTCTGTAGTGATAGGAGCTTCACTTGCTCAGTCCTTCATAAAACGTGTGCACTACCTTCATTAACCAAGAGGATTGTTCTTCTAATGTCACCATCTAGTAAACTTCATTACTGGAGGCAGAGCTGAAAACAAAGTTTGGATCCATTGTAGGACGAATGTCAGAATGGAAAGTCAATCTGCTGCACAGGAGAAAACAAGACATGTGAGAACCAAGGAGAGAATGAGGCACCAAACTAAACAAGCCAAGAAAGTCTTTGAAGGAAAGGAAGAACCGGCTAGAAGGAAATTTGCTGTGGGAGCAGCCAATGGGCAAAGCAGCAAAGACAGGCAGCCTGGTGTTCTCACCACATCAGGGGCATCCAAATTCCTGAAATGACACCATTCATTCCAGACAGAGATAAGAGATTAAAGGCATAGTCCACCTCCTGAGGGCCCCAAAGATAAACAACTGAAACAGCATTGAATCATTCCTTAAGGCGTAGGGACCAGAATCAGGCTTTAAGTCCTTGGCTGGGTTTTAAGTAGGGGCAAAAGGATAGAAAGGGAATTGGAAAGGGGCAGGTGAGGGAAAGGCTAGACAGAGAGACACAAAGATCTTCATGTGCGTTTTATCTGCCCTGGTCATTTTCAAAACCTGAAAATGACTTCACATGATGTTTTTCAGTACCTGATACGGATGACGGGATACTCAGCATTATAGCATTACTAAGTGACATGTCATTAAATGTTAAAACTGAGGAGTCCTGGTTGGAAGAGTTTATGTGAGAGATATGATTAGAAAAGAAGCCTCCATAGTTTTTTAACACTGTCCCATATTCAGTTAAACAAGAGACATTCCACACACTAGTAAGCTCAAAATCAGAAATACATTAACTGCAGCAGACCTAATATTTGACCTTGTATTGTACTCTAGAGTACATGTTCTTCATAGCATTATTCTGTCCCTGGCACTTTTTAAGACTAATTTTTCTTAAAATTGTGTGTGTGTGCGCACGTGCCCACATGTATGTGGATATGTGCGTGTTGAGTGATGGTGCCCTGAAGGCCAAAGGCATCAGATCCTTCCAACGCAGGAGTTTTAGGTGGCTGAGTCACCTGATGTGGGTGCTGGATTCCAAATTTGGGTTCTCTACAATAGTAGAACAGACTCTTAATCCCTAAGCCATCTCTCCAGCCTCAAAGGTATAGCCTGACTAGCTTCGAACTTAGGGTCCTCTCACCTCCACCTCTTCAGCATGCCCTACCAGTGTGTACTAACACAACCAGCCCATGGAACAACAATACAGAGATTTCATCTCAAGACTGGTCACTGTCGTGTTAATGTGTATTTCAATTGATGCTGATATTACAGGTTTACTTAAGTTGAGTTGTAAATTTGTCTAGGTTTATGCCTGCATCAGAACTATAAGTTCTTACAGGTACATTTATTTTTTTTAAATAAACATATTTTGAAGCTCCCAACCAAGTCTGAGCCACTAGCCCAATATCTAGTTATGCCCTCATTGTAGTAAATAAATACCATAGACCAAATGGGCTGGCCATTGCTACTCTTATGAGAGGCAGGACCACACACACCTGGCACCAGAAACCAGTATTGTTAGGAGCCCACTGGGAAAGGGGCAGGCAACCAGAAGTCCAACAAGATGCAACGGGTATTTGCAGCAGCCATCACCCTCACAGTGTGAGTAAGGTGACCAGCCATGCAGTCACAGAATTCAGTCACAGTGGGGAAAAGAGGCCACAAAACTTCCAAGGACTTTCACCAGACTCCACGTCTGAGGAACAGAGGAAACATCTGCCTGGACAGTCAGTTACACTCTGTAGGAGGCAGACGGGAAGAGGGCAGGCCTAGCAGGTTCAAGCTGCTTCTTTTCCTACCAGGAGACTCTGACAGGCTAGGATTCCTGCTTGCTCTCTGTAGGTGATGGGCTCCAAAGACCCTGACAAGGAACCTTCTGGTGGAGCAAGCCTGGTCCTCAGGCAGTAGCCAGGGCTTATTCCCACCCTTCAGCCTGTGCTGCCTTCAGGAACCTCTTAGCTCCTGCTCAGTGGGGTGTCAGTGCCTAGGACCCAGGTAGGCAGCAGAATCCCCATTAGCTGCAAGGAAGCATTTGTCCTTCAAAGACTGAAGTCAGACTCTTTTGCTTGGGCGACCTCTGTTCATAGGCGCTGTCTGTGCACCTGGTGCTCAAAGGCTAAGTGTTCACTGAAATAAGACCACATAAAAGGATACAAATACTTGGGGCTCCAGGGGTCATACTGAAAGGGACTGCTCCAAGCCTGGCAGTAGTGATGCAGGCCTTTAATCCTGGTCTACAGAGATAGTTCCAGGACAGCCAGGGAGACACACAGAAACCCTGTCTTGAAAAACCAGAAGGAAGAAGGGAGGGAGGGACGGAGGGAGGGAGGGAGAAAGGGGAGCAAGAGGGGAAGTGGAAGCAGAGCAAAAGGAAGAGGCAGGGGCGGGGCGGGGCTGGGAGGGAAGGGGAGGGAAGAGAAGGGAGAAGAGGGAGGGAGGGGAGGGGAGGGAAGGAAGGGAAGGAAGGGAAGGGAAGGGAAGGGAAGGAAGGGAAGGAAGGAAGGAACGGAACGGAAGGGAAGGAAGGAAGGAAGGGAAGGGAAGGGGGAAGGGAAGGGACTGTGCTGCAGGCACCCACAAATGGGTTGTGGAGACTGGCTGCCACTTGCTTGGCTACGTGAAGTGAACTTGTTATGAAACACAACCCAGCCTTCTGTATAGTCCTTGCTGTATTTGGATCCCTTCTTGGCAGGAGCTGCATCCTCTGGCTCTTCCTCGGCCTCTGCATTAAGCTCTGCCTCTTCCTGAGGTTCTCCCTCCATTGCCTTCCACTCCTCGGCCTTCATGGTAGCAGATATGTACAGAATGACCTCATCTTTGATTTCCATGTGTGCATGTATGTATTCATGTGGACATGTACATGTGGGTATAATGTATGAATATGGATGACAAAGGCTGACACTGAGCTTCTTCCTCAGTCTCCACCTTATTTAATGTGTGTTTTCATCTTGTTTGCATGCACATCTGTGTATCACTGAAAGAACAACCAGTTAACTGCTGAGCCATCTCTCCACACCCTGCCACATTTTTGAGACAGAGATTCTCACCTAACCAGCTCACTGATTTGGTTAGGCTGTCTAGCCAAATGAACTCCAGGCAACCCTCCTGTCTCTGCACCCCTATCCTCTCTCCCCAGCACTGGGATTACAGTGTGTGCCATCACAGCTGGGTGCTAAGGACACAAACTGAGGACCTTATGCTTGTGCAGCAAGCATTTCACCAACTGAGCCATCTCTCTGGCCCCAGTCTTTAAATAGCAATATAACTAAACTATGGACTAAAGATAAGGAGGGACCACAGGAATAACATTTTTCAATAGTTTGAAAGAAATGTTTTACAGAAAATAATATTCAGGTCTAAAAGCATTGTGTCACCTTTCTAAAACCAGAAAAAGCTAGCTAGTAGTCAACCAGCAGTGAAAACCTGGCTGGCTTCCAGCTGGCATCAGACACCTCAACTTGCTGGACAATCATTCATTGTAAGTTCCAACTCTTCAAAGCCTTTTAAAAATGGCTTGTTTTAAAACTACCAGGTCTCACCAGGCGGTGGTGGCACACGCCTTTAATCCCAGCACTTGGGAGGCAGAGGCAGGAGGATCTCTGTGAGTTCGAGGCCGGGCTGGACCGATAGCCTCCGAAACAATACAGAGAAACCCTGTCTCATAAAACCAATATATATATATATATATATATATATATATATATATATATATTTACACTTAATGCGGCAGGATGGCTCATTTCCTCTGAGTGACAAGTTACCACTTCTACTCACACTGTACTGGGAGACCTAACCACAGAAGAGAGGTAGAAAGGGACCAGGAGAGGGAAGAAGTGACAGGGAAGGAGTGAGGTGAAAGGTAAAGAAATCAAACTGTTCCTCAGGTAAAGGGCGAGGCTTAGGTTTAAAGCCCAAGAGAACTCACAGAGCATATGCTGGAAAACATTACTGAATTTTGCAAAATAATAGGAATGAATACAATAAGAGATATTGAAGATTTCTATATTCAAAAGTACAAAGCAAAATGGGCATAAAGGCACACACCTGTCTTTAATCCCAGCACTCTGGAGGCAGAGGCAGGCAGTTCTCTGAGTTCATAGCTAACATAGTCTCCAGAATGAGTTTCAGGACAGCCAGGGCCATGCAGAGAAACCATATTTTGAAAGGCATGAATGAATAAATGAATGAATGAATGAACGAACGAATGAACAAACGAAAGAACAGGACAGTAAGTAGATAAACCATATTAGTGTATTTCAAAAGTTGACTGTCTCCTAATCCATCTGTATGTCCAATGTAATTCCAACCACAAAGGCCTTGCAGGTCACGGAAAATATTTTGGGGGCTTTATTGTAGAGGTAACAGCAAAGCTCTATGCGATTCTAAGCAAGGAAGTGACTTTAGTCATTCTGATTACAGGAGGAAGCAAGAATTCAACTGAGATGTAACAATAACCAGCCTCAAAGAGTGGCAGAAGAATGGGGAAAAAAATAATACAGATCTGAGCACTACGTAGGAAGAGGATAAGGAACTGGGGTTGGGGGAGGAAGAGAGGAGACAGCTCCGGTGTTGCTCACCCTCCCACTGAGATGCCACACTAACTAGTTTATGCCT